AAGGAGAGGGGCTGCCTTTGGCAGGGGGCTCTGGCACTGCCGGGGCCGCGTCTGCGCGGCTCTGCTCAGCCAGACATGGGGCCGTCTGATCTGTCCTTATTGAACATGCAGCTCATTGTGGTGAAGCTTTCTCCTCTTCCTACCATAAAAAAAAGATGTAAATTGGAAGAAAACAGCACTTCTCATAAAAACTCTGTGCATTTATATTTAAACACTGAAGTCACACCACTCCCCATTGAAAAGCCCTCGGCTCCATTGTTGCACATGACTAGCGCAGAAAGAGACCATTATGCTCAGCAAAAATGTATTTTCCTTGCTCATTTTCCTGGAAACAAAACCTTCTGAGCTCTGGTGGCACAAGCCTCACCAAATGGTATTGATAAAGAGGGAGAAATTGCACATGGCACCGAATCGCCGGCTCCATCTGAGAGGGAAGGAATAAAGCTCCAGAATATGGCAGCAGATGCCTGTGTGAAATGGTGAGATTGCCTTTGTGGCAACGCAGAGCAGTTTACCAATAAGGCTCTCTCTGGCTGTTATAGTTGTGTTCAATAGCAATGACAGCTGTCAAGGAGCTCAGGGACTTGCTGGGATGCCTTCAACATTTTAATCACTCCAGCAAAGGCACAGAAAAACTGTTTGTATTTGGAGCACTGTTATTGCCATATGATATTTAAAAGGAATCAGTAATTGTTATTTACCTAAAACCTAGAAGGGGCTTTTAATTATTGCAATACAGCTCTCATTTCTGTAAACAGAAAGGACAGGTCCTCTCTCATTTTAATTTTGAGGAGTTAATTGGTGAATTACATAGCCCCTTTTACCATCACAATCTTCAGACGATGAACTATTTTTCCCTGTGAAGCTCAACTGACAGATTTTAATATTCCATTAACTTTACAGTTTTACTATAACATCACATCTTGAGACACTGGGGCACTTTGATTCAAACTACAGGAAATTAATTTTCTCTCTTTTATTATACCACCAGTAACTACCTTAAAAAAAAGAAACTTTAAAACTCCTGGTGACATGAGTATAATATGTAAAAATGACAGGACGAATTATGAATTTTATTTCCATAAGAGAAGGAAAGGAGGGGGTAATTATAGTGCTGAACCATTGTATTCAATCTGAAATTAAGATACTTTTCAAAGACAAGAAATTCATGATGTAAATCTTTGCAGTTGAAAGGCATTAAGAGTTGTTAACCCCTTTCGTTGCAGCCAAAATGTTTTGACTGAATATTTCTGGAAAAAAGAAAAAAAGTCACAAAATTTGTTGAGAAGACTGAACTTTTTGATCTTGTCTGAAATGACCAGTCTGACCAAGAAATGACTGAGAATATGCAATAGTTTCTGAAATGCAGCAGTCTAACTCATATTACTGGAATCATGGAAGAACACATATAGGAGGATTTAAAATGTCTTAAAACTGTTTGGTTTTTAATTTCAGATCAAACGAGGATTTTCAGGATCCCATGCCATAGAATTACTTTTCAAATGGGATTATACACATGAAGGTCTCTTTCCATTTACCTCACACAAAGGACTTTCCCATAAAGTACTGTGTTATGTTGCAAAAGACCTGGGATGTCTGCACATCATCAAAGACAGCAAATGACATAATCACTGCACAATCTGAGGCTCAGGTTGAGAAGGCACTTCAGTTGCAGGGGGAGGGATGCTGCCAGCAGAGAGGTGTTATTTCTGCTTTAAAAACAGATGAGTAGCTTGAGAAATGCTCATCCATAATAAGGAAGTGAGATTTCTGATATGCTTTTGGAAGGCAGGAGAAAATATGAGCATAGATCCTGAAGAGGTCAGGATGAATTCCAAAGAAGCACTTGCTCCGTGTTGCTGGAATTAAGGCAAACTGAGACTAAATTAGCTGAAGTTTCTGTCTTCTCTTTTTCAAAACAGAATATTCTAATAATATTGTCTCTTCTTACCTCTCTCTTATGAAAAGTTTGTTCACCATCTTAATCTTTTAATGAATTCTTGTTTACGTATACTTAAAAAAAATGAGGAGCATCTTTTACTCGTACTTGCTGTGACATCTCTGTTGGATTAAGGATGACCTGGGAGTTACAGTTTCTGCCTGCTGTTTTCACAGGGCTTTTAGCAACCAATCCCTGCACCTTTATAACCATGAGTGAAGGATTAGTCACGTGGAGGGGAACCTGTGCAAAGTAAGCAATGTGACACTATATTCCCTGCTGAGATAATAACTCCATTTTCACCACAGGATGAGTTGAGAGGTAATTGAGATCTCAGAGAAATTTATTACACATACATTGCAAGCAGTGACTATGGCACTAGTAGCTCTGTGTTACTGTAACACAGGATCTTTAGCATAACCTCTATGTGTTTCATAGGAAGACAAACAGGAATTTATGAACTTCTCAGTGCTACGACATAGTATGAACATACATGGCTGCTTGAGAATTCCACTGAGATTCGGTAAATAAACTTTGGCATTTAGAAACAACTTTCCCAATGAAGTGCTCTGCCCCTCATCCACGTTTCCCATAACTTGAGAAATTCTAGCACGAGCGTGTTGATTAATCTGTAGGAAATGTCAGATAGAAACTGCCATTCATCCTTAACCAGCCCTGTAGCCCCCTGTGATGACTCTGTATTTATTACTGATATAAGATGTTGTCTGTGGGGCAATAAAGGAGAGCAGAGGACACTTGTCATGGCTGTGTCATGCAGATCTGCTGTCAGCCCTCTGCAGCTTTAGCCAAGCCAGCACAGTGCAGGGGAATGATAAAGGCAATTGTTTCATAGTAAAAAAGCGTTTGTAAGTTTTGACTTGCAATTTGGGGTTTTGGGGGAATTTGGGGTTTGAGGCAGTTGTTTTATGTAATGCTGACCTACTCATACTTTTTCTCTAATAATTAAGATCTATCTAGACTTTCAGCTTATTCCCCTTGAAATGCTGTAGTAAATTCAGGTCATTTTACTATGGTAATTCTGAGAGCTGGAAATGTTACTCCTCAGTTCTGCTTTGATACCTCATGAAGAACAAGCTTTAGCAAAAGAGTATTGCATTTTACTGTCAACCTTAAATCAAAATCCTGTTGACATTAAGTACTAGAGCTGTCCCATGCTCACTGAGGAGCTCCTTGCTAAGCACCAGAGCCATCGCTGTGTGGGATGCCAGTGGGACAACTGTGATATTTTCAGTGTTTTAGTATTAACAATACAAGCACCTGAGAAGTCACAAGTATTTATTGCTTCCTTTGATTTATTTGTAAATGCCTGTTATGGGGCAAGTCTACTGCAAAGGTGCTTTGGGACTGAATCTTCCAGCACTGACACAGCTGTGGAGCCTGTCAGGGGCAGTGGGGGCTGTGGGACAGCATGTCCCCACTCCATGTGGGGCTCCTGCCATGGTCTCGCCTGTCCCTTGCCTGTTGCCATGGAGAGCAGATTTGGTCATGCACACTAGTGGGTCCCACACGTCTCTTCTCTGCTGGGGTAATCTGCTGTCACCGTGGTCATCACAATAACTGTGCTTTTCCCTTTTTTTTTTTAATATACTCTTCTCGGTATCACATATTGTTTTCGGCTGCCTAGGTGCATTCCTGGTGTCAGCAGCATGATGTGCTACTGCTCGTTTAAACTGAGAGACAAAACCCTGATGTGCTCTGCTCAAAAAATTGCTCAGTACTTCTGTATATTCTGCAAGGTTACTTAGGATACATACACCCCTGTTTCACCTTTTGTCTTTAAAGTGATGCAGGATGAATATCTTTCAAATGGAAAGACAGGCGACTGGAAAAAAAAGGGGGGAAAACAAGTAACAAGATCAAAGACGTAAATAGAACAAAATATGCACAAGAGATCTCATCTGAGATCAAAGATGTGAACGTAATTACCATGAATAAGACGTGCAGAGCTCACCAGAACGGAATGGTTTGTGTGCCTGGAGAATTCTGCAGAAATAAACCATTCTGTGGGAAATCGAGCGCTCCACAGAGTGATGGAAGGACATTTATTCTGCACTGGAGGGGGAATAGCAGAAACCCCACCATTACAGCTGGGCTGTTTATTGCTGGCTGACCCTGTGCAGGGCTGCAGCCATTGAGGTAGCTCAAACGAAATCTCTGAACCTTTTACTTTAAAAAGATTCTGACCTGGGAAAAAAAAAACCAAAAACCAAAAAACAAGCAAGCCCCAGCTCTTTAACCCTGAGAGGTGTGTAGTTCTTAGGCAGACATTTTCAAGGGCAAATGTAGTGATTGTGTTATGAGTGTGGTTGAAAGAAAAACAATTGCTTCTCTTAAGCTTAACACGTAGAGGAATTCTGCAGAGCATGAATCGTTTCTTTTCACTAGCTCTGTTCAGTCAGGGATTGTGCTTGTATTTGTGATTTTTATGGCTGTTATGTACACGTGTCCATGGGCCCTAAAAGAACATGCTTAGAAATGTAATACATAAATAAATTGTCTAGAAAAGTATGTAAGGAAAGTTACAGTGACTGAGTGAAATTGTGAACTGCTGATTCTTCCAAGGGAAAGATCTTATGAGTTATATGCTGATCATATATACCAGAATATTGTTTGACTTTTAGTGGAGTTTCTAAATAAATCCTGGTAAAAGTGGAAAAGAAAAAAATAAATCTTTATTTTTCTTTTTCCAAGAACACACTCTGGACACTGAACAATCCCTCGTATGCTTCCATATAAGATGTGCCTTTACCGTGCATATCTCAAACCTGATGAGAACGTGGAAACTCAGTAAGCTTTAGCAGTGATTTTTGGTTTAATACCTCTCTCTGTCAGCATGAAATAGAAATTCAGACAGAGGTCCACGTATCAGGTTTATTTCCACTGGGGAGAGAGGTCAGAAAGGAAAGCATGCATGAACATTACTGGAACTGTTTAGCATGTAGATGATTTTTTAAAAACAGTATCTTAGTCCATCTTTGTACAGAAAAACTTGCTGTAAGGAAGCTGGCAAGCATGTGCAGTCTAGAAATGAATATTTTCACTCCATTCTTCTGACTGCTTTGTTTTTGGGAAGAGCTGTCCATAGATTCTGCTGTCCATGACTTTGAGTGAAACCCTGGAAATACAAGTAGTGTCTGTGTCAGATCTCATACTGATCTGTAAACTGTACAACCTGAGGTGGAAATCCTACTTTTCCATGACAATGGGCTTACTGTCTCCATTGCAAAATCCCCATCAGCAGTCATGGTGTGGAACTCTGCCAGATAATACCTTCAAAGGGTCACTTCTGCACAAGGCACATTTCCTCCTTCCATAATAAAGAGGTGAGCTGATTCTGCTGGAGGTATGTTTTGCAGGTATTGTAGGATTTTTGTGGCATAACAATGAATTTGAAACTGCACACTTTTCATCAGGCAAATAATTAGTTTACTTAGAAACAGCTTGTCCTATTCCCTTTGGGAGAATAGGCCTAATTCTGTCTTCAGTCGTGTCCCCATGATCTTTATGAAATAGAGATATACAGAATAGAGGTATAGAGATTAAACTGAGAGAATGTTCTGTCCTTTTGTAGGAGATATTACTTCACAAAAAGAGCTCTGTCAAGTCTTTAGGCCAAAATGATGTATGATGTATTATCTTAAGATCTTTGGTTGCTGTCAGATTAGAAACTGGGGAGAGTTTATTTTGTGATGTCCACTACTATTTCTGTTCTCCTGTGAGCCTTTGCTTTGACTTCAGTTCTCTCAAGAATCTGTAAACTCACTCATAAAGTGAATAATTTTATTTTATTTTTTTTTAGCTTAAAGGTGTTTCTAGCATTCACAGACACTTTCAAAATAACAATTTTGCCCGTGGTCGTGGGCAGCCTGTGGTAGGTGACTCTGCTTGAGAAAGGGGGTGGGTAAAATGACCTTCACAGATCCCTGCCAACCTCATTCAGGCTGTGACTCTCTATTTGTAACTCCTTGGTCTCTTCATTTTGATTCAGGTGATACAGCAATAGAAAACTCTGTCCCATTATATTCTATAAATGGGATCCATTCTACAAAATGGGCTCCACAGGAATGGTGATCACAAGCTTTGTATTATTTCAGTCTAGTATATTTAGTTATTTTCATTAGATAATGCTATGGACTTTGGTCTAACTAAGTGCTTAAACACCAAAGGCAGGCACACGAATAATCCTGAGGAAGTCAAGAGAGGTGCTTTTATACTGAATACTTCAGCTTAAGTGCTTGGCTGAATAGGAGCCATTCTTGTGATTTCATTAAAACAATACTGAGAAGAGCATGTAGTTTGTGTGGCAGAGAGAAGGGTGTGCACTGCATGGGAGCCTCTACCTTTTACAGAGCCTTTGAAATTCTGATGCTTAACTGTTAGCATTGGTGAAAAGTGCAGAGTTGTCTCTCAAAACACAACTCATGGCTTAGCAATGAAGAAAAGTGGATTTTAAACAAACATCATCTTGCCCAATGACAAAATAGTTATTTGGTTTTTTTTTTTTTTCTGTTAAGAGTGAGCTGTCAAACCTGTTTTCTAGGCCAATATTGACTGAGGAGAAGCTCTCCTCCCCATCACTTCATCCTGCTATGCAAGTATTCAGTCAGTTCAAATAATTTATTATTACCTGAGAGTTGCTGTAGCTCATAGCAACTGTGAACACCCACAAGGGCATCACAAGGCAGCTAAAAGGCAGTTAAAAGGCAGTATAAGCTGTAGATATGATCTCAATTCTCTATATCGCTTTTTAATTTTTTTTTTTTAATTCTTGACTCATTAAACTCAGGTTATATTGGATATATCTAAACTGTAAGATTAAGATTATTGTCCTCAAAAGCCTGGTCACTACAGTATGTTATGAGACCCTGCAGGCTTGTTCCACCCCTGCAAAGGGAACCAGGACTATGATCTCTCACTATGTCAGGGTGCATGGGCTCATCTGCCTTCTTTGGGAAACACATTTACTGTCTTTTCTTGCTTCTAAGAAGTTCTACACATCCATTTAAGTAAAGTAAACCAGTAAGAGCAGGGTTTCAGCACAGTAGTGCTTCAATACAAGCTTGGATCAGGCCTTTCATTTCGTGGGTGCAGTGCTGTCTATGCAGCACAGAGCCTCCTGTTTGAACTGGCAACATCAAATATATTTCTCCCCTCGTGAAATATTTTGATCTGCCTTCGCCCTAAAATTAAAGCCTTCCTTGCAATTTCAGCAATGAGAACAGTTTTACAGTGGGTGTAAAGATAATGCAAACCTTAGTCTAAGTGAGAATCAGGCTCAGAGTGTGTGCATCGAACACTATTTGAATTATATTCAGAACTGTTTATGGGTTCTCAGGAGTTGCAGAGCCTGTTAGAAATGAAATACTGCTTAAGGAAGAGGGCTTATGTTTTCTATTCTGCTGAAAAAGAAATAAAGAGGAAAACATATTTGTGCCTGTTCAAAGGCTGCCCAAGGACAGCTTTCATTCTTTATGACCCAGTTACATTAAATGCTTTCACAGGAACTCCTCAGATACTTATTAAAAAAAAAAAAAAAAAAAGAGAGAAAGGAAAAAAGAAAGGAAAACACAGATCAGTACCTCTAATCTTCACTCTGAGGACACATCCAAGCTTGGAGCCTTTGACAGATATCTTGCATCCCTAGTTACCTGCAGGAAAATTAAACAAAGCAAGAGATGAGCATCACTGGATATGAGAAATTAACTCTGTCCATGTAACTACTAAATACCAGTGTTTAAGATCATTTTCTTTCTAAGAAAGAGGACAATCAGTTATAACTTCAGCCAGCACAAGAAGACTTATTGCTCTTACTCTCTTTCTCCAGTAATTTTTTTTTTCTTTTGGCACAATATGAGTACTTTGGATATTTTGTCCAGACCTCGAGTCCAGCTGAAAGTTTTCTTTGGCTTTTGACAGAAGGTAGGCACCACCCCGGCACACATACAGTGACAATGGTGCTTATCAGACAGGAACTCAATCATTTTGAAATCTTTTTGTGTGGTGTGTGAACAGCACTTATGGGCCTCAACCTGCCCTATGGCTACAATCCCTACCAGGGTTTACACAGGAGCTGATCCCTCTACCTATTTGACTCGAAACAGACTGTGTTACATCCTGCCTAAAACCAGAATCAGTCTGTGCTTTTTCTGATGCTTCTTAGTAGTGAATCTGAGTAATGGTGTTTGACACTGCTTGAGGAAAATGAAGCTGGAAGGATTTCTTGGGAGTTGTGGTATGTCCCTTTACACCTCCCAGGGCTTCCAGAAGGGAAAGAGAGCGCACACAGAGCTCCAGAGAGCACTGGGCAGCAGTACTGCACACGTGGTGACAGAAAAAGCCTTTTGTGGAAACTTGGGAGTCCTTTTGGATATCTTGTTGTCAGCGACTGAAGTAGTAGTAAATATTTTCTTCTTAGTGGTGTTGCTTTCTAATGAAGGAAAAAACACAAACTAATAAAGTCTGTTGTCATTGCTTGCTGTGATTTGAAAAAGTTAAGATACTCACTATTCACTATACTAATTCCCCTGACACTGTGCCATATTGCCAAAACTAAAAAAAAAATTTAAAAATTCAATGTTTTCTCTATATGAGCCCTGAATTCTTGTTGGTTTTTTTTTTCTGTCATATGAATATTGAATCACTGATATTTTCTGTGTCACACAGAATGGTTGAGATATCAGAGAGAACTAATGATTTGCATAAGCATCCCAGAGGCATTTTTGGCTTCCTAGCATGCAGAAGCTTTAGCCTGTTGTCTTTACACAGAGTCTGCTGTAATGCTGCATGCCAGAGATGATAATTCATTTTGTGAAACATGATCAGAAGAACCTTTATGGAGGTGTGACAGATGCAGCTGTAGTCATCACTTGAAGCACTTTTCCATAACCTGAAAAAATGTGTCTCCTTCTGATTATCTTTCTTGATGACTTTTTTAGGTATCGTTGAGTTGCAGCTGTCATATGCAATGAAATTCCTAAAAGAGCAAGGGGAAAGAAAGGTTAAAGTGCCTGCAGCCACAGTTTCAGGACTTAATTGGACACTAGCTACTCAGCTATGAGCATTCCCCCAAAGAATGGTGGAGCTCTTGTAGGCTTCAAACAATGGAGGTGCGTGGGTTGATGCCATCTGCAGCCTAGGGCTCGTAGAACAAAAAGATGTTTGAAGAAGAGGGAAATTCTCAGAGATATGGTAGAATGGGAATGATCTGAAAGTAATCAATCATTACGGTGACATAAATCACAACACACAACAGCCCACAGCCAGAAGATGTCAAATACCGCCCGCAGCGCGCGAGTCTCTCTGGCATCATCACTTTTGTGTGTTGTGCCACCGCTCTTTTGTGGGCCATCAATTTTGTTGGGCAATGAAACTCAAGAATGCCGTGTTCCCCCTTCCTGGCTAATGCAAGCTTTATGATTGCGCACCCTAACGTGCGCTTAGGGCGCATTCATCCTTTGACCCGAGCTAACAATTGATTGTGAGCTGGGTGCCAAACCCGCCAGATGTTGCTTGATCTCATAATTACATTAGTGCCATTGCTCCAGTGCAACAGCATCAAAACAATACCAGCCAATCTCAGGCACAAAGAGAGCCTGCAACTCTCATGTGGTCATCTGGTCCACGCCTGACATTTTTGCCTAAAGCTCTCAGATGTTAAACTTAATTTCTCTTACTTGATTATAAGCAAAATGATCTGTGCACAATATTAAAAAAACATTTATCAGCTGGAAAACACTAAAAGGCATGGCATAAACTCACATAAATGTTAATGAAAGGCAAACAAAATTAAGCGATAGTATTGCATTCCTGAGGCTCTTACACACTTTTTAAGTAAAAGAGGATCTAGTAGAGGAGGTCAGAACAAGATTGGAGGATAAGCACAAAAGATATTGTTTTGAAATTTACACCAACTCTTCTTGTGGTTCAAAACACTGGTCTGGAAGTCCCGTTGAATGGAACAAGCATAATCCTCCTTTAACTTATTCTGATACTGATCCTCATCAGATCAATGTAAATCATAAATCCCTTAGTTTCAATAGAAAGGCTCCATTTTTCTACTGTTGCCCATAAAACAAAACACGAACTATTTGTTGCATAGCACCTTCCAAAAAACTGTAAAAAGTGGCAAAGCAATGATTGTGGTGGTTGTCTAATGGGGTCTATTCCTCTGAGTTAGGGCAGTGCTCTTTGGATGGTCTGTAGGGCAGACTGAGTATGAGGCTCCAGATCCCAGTATAAAAATACCTAAATGCAAATGACTCAAACTGTGTTATCCTTCGTCTTGTCATATTGAGCCGTAATTTGCTAAAACAGAGCTGAAATATAGCAAGGACATTTTCATCCCATTTTTTTCAGCCCTCCCCCTCTCCAGATTGCCAAGGGGCACATTGCCCCTTTCCTTCACCTGCCTTCCAGCCCAGAAAGCTCTGAGACCTGTGCTTGAGTTCTTCAGGACTGGTGCTGTACGTGGGAGCACTAGGCCACTGCATAGCTCACTGTAATTTTCTGCTTTTTCAACTAAATGTCGTGAGTTCTCATCATCAGCCACTGTGAAATTACAGCATTTTCCTTCCCTCTCGATTGTGAGCTACAACACATATCTCAGAGTAGGCACAAGAAAAATTGTAGCACAGGGCAGGATCTATCAGCTAAAAAGAATTTCTAAACAATGCAAGGTGGTTTCAGCTTGCCCTACTAATATTCTCCATCTTGCAGTATTTTCATTTCAAATAAGAATATAAAGTCATGCCACATATAAAAGAAATTTTATTTCCTGTACTACTACAATTTTTAATCATAATGGGCCATGTAGATCAGTGGGCAAATATTACATCCTAAAGTTTCAGATAATTGCCATCTTTATGCGTCGTATCTGATCTTTAATAAATGTTATTTTACACAGTGTAATTAGACTTCAGGATATAAAACTCTGAGAGTAATCCTTAAGCTTTTTGCAGAGCTGGATATTTTCAGGGTACACTGACACCTAGATTCTGATCCAACTAATGGCACAAATCTGAAGCAATTTCCTTGAAATCAGTACGATTACATCAGCACAAACTGCATAAAAATGGGATGAGAGTCAGACCTTTATTTCTTTTCCAGTCAGCTCTAGAGATATAGTATTTTCCATTTAGTCAACTGAAGAGAACTGTAAAGGCATGGAAAGAAATGATAGAACTAAATTTTACTATTTAACATATGGGAAACTTGCTTATTATTTTACCATGAGCATACGCAGCAAAAAGAGCCTGTTGCAATAAAATGGAAAAAATTAACCTCAGGTGTTGTATCATGAAATCCAAGGAAGTGACATCAAAGATTAAACCTGGCCCATTTACTTTTAAGTTATTTTGTTCAAGTATCAGATTTTATGTCTGGAGATTTTCTCTACTCTGTGAATTTTATTCTTTTTTGTAAGCATAAAATTGAATAAGGATCAAAAAAAAATCATTTTATTGCCTCTGTACCAACATTAGACTGTCATATTGGGCACTCAAATTCTTTTGACAGCTTTGGGTGCTGTGGTGTGCTGTGGGAACAGCTACAAACTGAGGTCAATGTACGCAGCAAACATGGTGCAGGGTGGTTTTAGACAAGAAGGACGCAGTCATTTGCCCATGGAGAGCCGTGGCTTGCTACTGCCACAGAAGCCTTTTTGTTCCAAGGACAATTTTCTGTACCCAGTCACATTGAGACAGTCTTAATTTTGTGTTGGATAACATTGTCTCTCAGTTATTGCTCTGTCTTGAAAGGAGAAGTGGGAGTGGCAGCGTTATCCAGGCTGGCAGAGGTGCCATCGTGTCTCCTGACAACCTGTGAAGCCACAGCCTGTTGCCAGGACTGGTACCTGCTCTGGACTGAGAGTTGTTTCATTTCATTCATTTCACTAGTTCAGAAGAGCGAGGGAAGACCACTTGGAAACTACAGGAAAAATTCCAAACTCTTAAGGAGAAAAAAAAGCTAAATGGACACAAAAGGCCTTGTTTTGGTTAACGGGAGCCAATAGGGAGAACATATCAGGGATAGGTGAGGTGGGGACAGTGGGAGAGGTGGCTCTGGGTGGACCCATTGCCTGCAAGGTGCCCTGGGAGTCCTTGGTACATGGAGGTCTCCTTTGGGACTCTCTGGCATGGGCCAGCCCTCACCCCTGCACTGGTGTACTCTGGAGCTTTTGCCAGGACTTTCAGGAGCTGGGGAAATTCAGAGGAGTGTGGCAAGCTTGGTATGCATAAGATGTGTATCTGTCATCTTAAATTTTGTTCCAAGTCCGAAACTGAAAACTTTTTTTTTGTGGGTAGAAGTTGACTGGAACTGCTGAAGTTTCTTTTCATGGATTATTTAAGCAGCACAAGATGTTGTTAATTCTGAGTTTCTTCCATGTTATTTGGGAAAGTATGTCTGATTATGTAAATTGAAAGTTGCTGCTTAAAAATATTTTGCTTGAGAGATTGCAAAGGCAACACAGTAAATGAATTAAGATCAGAGAGTCTTGCTCAAGTGAGAAGATTGCATAAGTAACCGCATGTGGTATTGAAAAATACATATTGTTTACTACGTATTCTTGCAAGATCCTTAAATATTTCACTTTGAGGTTTGCTTGATATAAAATACTGCATTTGTTCAAGCTGTCTCACAGGCTGGGCTCTAAGCTGATCTGCAGCTACATGCAGATTAAAACCATTATGCTGTCCCACTGCAATTTTGGATTTAATTTGGTTAGTTTCCGTCTTTTTAAGAGAAACAAGAGAGTTTTCAAACCAACAGGCATTGACTGCTTACCTAATTAAAAATGTATCCATCTGCTGGTTTGGTGGCTGACTTGTTATTCAAAGCATGCAGACCTAAGTAGATTGATTTATTTATGAAGACCTTATGACACTGAGAGATATGCACTCAAACACATGCAAAAATAAATGTGGCTGCAGATGGGTAGACACACACAGATCTTTAGGGATAGATAGAGAGAATTTGGAAAATGTGCTTTACAGGGAAGATCCTTTTATGTTGCTTTCACGTGTTTAACATTTAGAGCTCAAATAACAGAGCAGCCAGCGAACATGTTGTGAGATAACTCTAGTCTAAATATCCTATAGTGCCTTTTAAGTTGCGATGATTTTTTCTGAAAGCTCAGTGTGAGTGATAGACTCTTAAAGAGATGCTACATTTTAAGCAATGTTTTATTTAGAGAACACTTTAAAGTGAATTTTAATTAAAGGAGGAAAAATCATTAGCACTCACAAACATCATGTGTTGGAATCAGGCTAAATGCTGTCTTCTTATATTTAATTTCGTTGGTGTATTGGTAAATGTCTCCCAAATTAAGTTTCTTAGAAACTATGCTCAGGCTTTGGAAACATCTAATGGATTCATTCTCAATGCTATAAATATTGCTGCAATCCTTAGGTAAAGTTTATTCATCAGTTTATGGGCTCCAGGAAATTCCCAGTGGAATGAAGCCATCACGGTGTTTCCACGTGGGGCGTGGAGCTGCTGGTGTTGCACCTCACGTCATGGCTGGTGCAATTCCACTGGTGTGAGCTGGCCTCTTAAACTAATGCAAAGGGAAAGACACCCACGCCGTGTACAGAGCTCTCTCCGTGAGAGGGTGTAGGTGGTCTGCATAGGCCACCTGACAGGTATGAGGAAAATGGACAGTGCCGTGTCTGGGGCAACTTTACAGCTTCTGTTTCTGTTTTACAGCACAGTTTCTAGTGGGTCCTTTTTGTTTTTCCTTCCATTCATGTGCCTGGCAGCATGTTTATTCAGGTTTTGTACATGTTTGCATGTGTGTTAGCATTCATGGGTAAAAGAAGCCATTTTATCCAAAATAGACTGAAATTATTCCTTTAAAGACCACCAGATCATGCTGGTGTACTCTTAAATTGAAACTGTCTTGCACCAGACAATAAAG